ATCATTACCATTATTATTGTCATTTTATTTCTTAACGCCTTGCTCTACAATTTACTTCTGAGTTATGATCGATACAACTACTTGGACATTAGTATTTTATTGAAAAAACATAAAAATTTTATGCATATTGTATATCTACGCTTGCTCCGAAGTATAATTATTGATAACAGAAGAGTAATATTTAATTTGAATTCCAAAAAATTGAGTAATACTTATTCTTGTTAGATTTTCTTTAAAATATTCACCACGAGTCTGGCACCTTATTGCAAGCTAAGGAGTTAACACTAGAACTACCAAACGCGTCAAATGAACCTATTCATGAATTCTTCTTTCGCAATTGCTAATATGATCATAAGTGTTTTGAGGAATTACTAAAGATCGTAGATACGTCTAAAGAACTGCTAAAGAAATTGATTTAATAATAGGCAAATTGAATCATAAGTCAATTGAAATCTCAATTACTGCACCCTTAGAGCTCTTATAGAAAGATTCGAAAAAGTCAATTCGACTGCTTGATAGCTTTAGTGTTCACGAATGAGTTTAAATGGTTGCCTGGTAGTCCGTATAATATGCAAGTACCCTAAAATCACTTCTCAAGCGTATGGAAATCCGAAACAATCGGAACATACCTCCATCAACTCCCAGCGAAACAGGAAACAATCGCCGCGTCCGTTAACTCCCATTATAGATCAAAAAGGAACCATCGAAAGCTCGTTCGTATGGATTGAAAGAGCGCCAAAGATCGCGGCAGAAGCATCCATTAATAAAATTCGCTTCGCTCGTACTCGGGAAGCAAGGGAACGCGCACCGGACACAATAATATTCACGGTGGTGCTCTCTTTTCCGCGGGAAAAAGACCGGTCCGAACGATCAGCGGCAAGCGTTCGCCTGGAATTTGTTACGGCCCCATCAACCGTTTATTGTAAAATACAGCTGGCGATTTCAGTTTCAATCGCAGCCACCGATGGTGTTGTTCCGCGGCGTTCACCCTTGTCCCGAGATTAATACGATTTTCCGCATTTGGCCGTGAAACGCTACGCCCTCGAGTCGCATAGGTTCCACACGACACAGCCGTCTTTTCGGTGTCATCGAATTAAATTTGACAATGTCTCCGGTTGATCTTGTCAATAGTATATCTAGCAACACATTACCATACTTTAACTATCTGTTAACACAGTATTTTTACATCTTTATTTTTCTTTTATTATCTTATTGTATATATTTTCTTTATACTATATTATTTTTATTCTGTCACACATTTTATTTATTGATTGCAACAATATCATTGATATTTCGTTGGAAAATAATGATTATTTGGTCAGGAAAATATCCTGCAGTGCAAAGGGTTGACACTTTTGAGAGATTTTTAAGGGCAACACCTATCAATCGGAATTTTTCAAACACTATATCAATTACGGGTTTGTTCGCATGTTCACAAGTTTGATTTCATTTTCCAGGTTTCGATATCTTATATTAGGTATGAAGAAATTACTTGCAATTGTTTAAAATTTAATTCTTTATCAACAGAACGATTATTTACAAAGAATGTATAATGCCATATTTTTCAACATAAAATATTAATGAAATAAATCAACCTATTTTTAACTACTAATGTTAATAAAATGAAAGATACTTTTGAGACAATCTAATATATTTCAAAGTCATCGAAAAAGATGATGAAGCCTCTTTTATAAATAATTAGGGGAAATTAAGGTAAAACGGGACAGTAATGTTTTTATTATTATTGCCGTATCATTATCACAGTAATCTTTTATTTCTCTGTAGCCGAAGGTCTATTTAAGACTTCCCAAAAAGATGATTATTACAATTGAAACAAAAGCGTCCTATTTTATCCGATTTTCCCTTATCGTGTTATTGTTGAATCGACTTCGATCAACACTTGCTCATTTCTAAAAGAAAGTCGGGGGAGGGTAGCGTGACACAGGTGTCGATCGTAACCCGCCCAGGGGGTTGTTTTCATATCGATCCCCTCGTCCATCCGTCTCGCATGACGCGCTTTCCCGCGCGAACCCTTCGAACACGTCGGACAATGTCATCGTTACACTTTGATGCTTATGTTTGGCATTACAGTATCGCTATGGCAACTTGATCCACAGTTCGACCATGTATTTCGCTTCACTTCCGCAACCGCTTTCCACGCGGCAGGTTACTGGTTACGATTTTAACTGAGTTTGCCGATCGGTGGTCTCACGCGTTCGTCATCGATGAATTCATCGGAAAATCGCGTCCATTCGACGAGACAGGTGTGACGACTCCGCGAAGAATTAACGAGCTGTCGCGTTGGAGAATTTCGGATCCATCGCTGTCGCGAATTCGGGATGCCGGACAGATGCTTTTTTGAGTGTTAACGGTTGGAGAGTACTGGTGCGTAGGTGGAAAAGACACATAGCGGAAACAAAATAGTGGTAATGGTACAGTCATATACGTTGCATGTTGGATCACCAGTAGAAATGAGAGAAATTAAATAATGTATATAACGATTATACTGAGCGTGTAATTAAATTTGTTTAGTTCAGATATTCTTCTGTTTTCACCATGAGGTACTAGCAAAATGAGCGACGCGAAAGAGGACTGAATCTTAGAGTAAAGGATCTTTCTTTATTGTTATATTAATTATTAATAAAGAACCATTCTTTATTCTTAGAAAGAATCTGTCTATCAAGGTTCAACATTTCTGCATTGATATGTTTTGTGTAAAGTATTAATGTATCTTGTTAAATTTCTCATCTATAAATAATTAGTCTTGAATGAAACAGGATTTGACAATTAGTGTGTTGCAAAATTGTCTCATTTAATCTGAATACAGATATTTCACTTGAAAATATAGGATATTGTATTAATTGTCGTGAAGAACTTCAACTGTATTTCACGTATTTCATCAGATCGTATTTTCAGTTTTTTTAAATAATTCCAAAATTTTTAATTATATTTCAATATTCTAATTTAATAATACGTTCAGAATATTTATGTTATATTAGGTTTACGTAGCTTTACTATTAAGTTTACATAATCCTGTAGTATTAGATCTACGCCACAATCGTAAAACTGAAAATAACATTCAACTGGAAGTATTGACTTTACAACTGTTTTCATAATATTATCGTTCTAATTTTTAAACAAAATATGTTATGTCTACAATATACTATAACATGTGTATCTAAGGAGTAATAACAGAAAACTCGAATAATGTAATATTTTTAATTAACGAATATCAACTCAGCTGTGAATACAAAAATAAATGTGATATCTTCTTTTAACAATAATATATAATAGATTTTTATGCACGATACATTTGCATAATATTTTCATAATTAATTAATTCTTTACACAAATGTTTAAACCTTACTACGCAATCGCAATGAAATGTATTGTCATATTTAAAAACAAAAAATGAGGGAAAATTGTCATTCAAGAAAAACATAGAGGTTGAATCAGTACAAAATTAATTAATCTTTAACAGTGTTATAGTAAAAAACCATACTACAATTTTAACCCTTTGGAAACATTGTAAATAAATAGTAACCTATCAAATAAAAATATACGTATGAATTTTTTCTTACATTTATATACTTCACTACACTAATTTCGTGAAATAATATTGCATTTAGAACTAATAACAGAAATTTGGTAATGTGGGTTCATTTTTCATTTTTTTGTTTGATGAGTGAATTTACTTTTGCGTTGGAAGTAAGTCAGTATCTGTTTGCATTACCTTTACAATTACACATTATAAAAATGTCAATGTATGAGATTGTCGGAAATTGACCTCAGAATAGAAGAGACCGTCACTGTGTCTGACGAAACACTAATTAATTAAAAATAATGAAATCGACCGGGTATAAGTACGGCTAGTCGTACTCTGCGTTTGACGGTTCCCACCCCCACGAGGACCGTTGAATTATCGCAGGGGAAGTCGTTTTTCCAAGAGCTCGTTACATTTACCTTTTTCGAGATACCTTACCCACGAATTTTTGTATACAACCACGCTCGGCTAACCGGCAAATTTTATAATTTGTACTTTTCAGCCTGACGGACTCGCAATCGCAAAAATATTCGTGTTTGGGCAGAATTAATGGAAGTTTGATAACAATGACACTGTTGCCGGAGTAACGGAATTACAAAATATGTAATTTTGTTTTGTTAGGAAAAAGGTAGCATATTGTAACGTTTTAATGTATTGCATAAATTTTAGTTAAATTAAAATGACCATAAATTGTATTGTAATGATTGACTAATGTAATAATATTAATTAGTGTGTTATCTTTTCTTGATTTTTAAATGTTTTTCTATAGGCTTATAGAAATATTAAAATTTTTGACACCTTTACACATCGGTCTATAAAAAATGTTCTTTATTTGTATATTCATTTTTTTTTCAGAATACGATTAATTCATTGTTAATTTTTATAGAATGTACATACTTTGTGATTATAGATTATGGATCTTGAAATCTGATAAATGGGAACAAGAATTCACTTTTAAACAAATATTTTATTGTTTCCCACATTTAACATATAATTCCTATATCTTGTCATGCATTAAATCTAAACATGGAATTTCTCGTCATCCTCTATTCCTGAAAAACATAATTAAAAACAACAAATTCTTAAACTAAAATCTTATTTATAAATTAACCACAATAGTTATTCAATAATTTTCGTCACTGCATCATTTCACATGCTTTTCAAAATTTCAAAACCATCCGTGAAACCATTTACGAAGATTCCGTTTTTCCAGAATTCAATCTCCCAAAAATTAAAAATAATAAACCAATTCTTCCCAGAATCACAGATGAAACGAGAAATTTTATAGGAATCAACCAGTGAATATTGTACATTAAATGTCCCGGCAAACAGTAGTATTTGCAGTTTCGAACAATTTCGCAGAAACATTCGTCGCGATATTTAACCATGAAAAACTTGTACAAACTCTATACGAATAAATGTCAGTATTTTAAGTTCCACGTTCTTTTGAATGCAGGTTGGTTGTCGGTACATTCGACCGGCAGCTTTCGATCAGCCATATTCCTGGGAAGAGACGCCCGTAAAAATCCGCAGTGCTAGTCGATGATCTTCCAATCCATAGGATCCCAAACACAGGCGGCGAGATAAATTTGTATGCGAACAAGGTACACGCAGATGCAAAGCCTAAAGATTCGAAAGTTTTCCCTTGCTTTGGGGCCGCTGAATAAAAATCTCGTTTGCACAGCAACGTTACGGGAACGGGGAAGAAGAGAAAGACGTTGTGGAGAAGGGATCCTACGAGGGGGACCGCAAAATGCCGATTGATTTTTACTACTTCCCGCTCAGTCCACCGAGTCGGTCGGTTATGTTGCTCGCAAAAGCGATCGGTGTTCACCTGAACTTGAAGACGGTCAATGTGCTAAAAGGGGAGCACATGAAGCCGTCCTTTATAAAGGTCTGCCTTATAGATGCGAGGCATCGATTCTAGATTTTTTAAATATTTTTGGAATATTCTCTGTTTTATGTATTACTTATATTATATGTATTAATTATTGATTATTATGTATTAATATTTATTAATTAATATATATAATCTATGTCCATGTATAACGTTGCAAATTGCAGCATGAAATGAACTTGCAAGGAAAGGTATCGAACGAAAATTCATAAAATTGTGAAACTTTGTGTATAAGTAGAGTAAGTCACGTATAATACATTACAATTTTTTTCGTGCCGAATTTCACTATGAAGGAGTGAAACCACCCCTTGAAGAAAATGTAAATTTTTCTTTCCCGTGGATATCTTGAAAATGGTAAGGGATAACGAAAAAAGTTTCAACGAAAAATACATGGTTCTTTCACATCTATAAAATTGTAAAATCAAATTTTAAAGATTCAAAATTCAAATTCAAAATTTTGAAAAATTGTTATTTTTATTTAATTTTCTAAATCGGAAAAGGTTATTGAGTAGTGTACTAAAGACACATCTCTGAAAATCCGCAATATTATATTAACAATATATATATATATATATATATATATATATATATA